TTTTTTCCTTTTTTTTTTTTGTTTTTAATTTTGATAATGGGTTTGATAGAAAACAACAAAAATCGAAAAATAAATTTCTTTTTTCTTCTTCTTTTTTTTTTTTTTTTCGAATTCGAAAATCCGCCTGAAAAAAAAAATAAAAAACTTTTCCCTATCCCCTCCCTCTCCCCCTACCCTACCCTACCCTTCCCACCCGTTTCCTAGTTATTAATTTAAAAAAATTAAAAAAATAAAAAACAATGAACGGTAGATGGCGGTAGGTTTCCGTTTCCGTTTCCGGTTTTCCGATTCGATTTTAAATTTCACTTACTTTCCCATTCCCACTCCCACTCCCTCCCCTTTTTTTCCCTCCTTTTCTTCCTTCCTCTTTTCAATTTTTATGCGAATAAAAAATAAAAATGTCCGGAATAATAATTGTTTTGCATTGTTTTCTTTTTCTTTTTAATTTGAATTTTTTTTTCTTCTTCTTCTTCTTCTTCTTCGTCTTCTTTTACTTTTTTTTTCAGACGATTAAAAATCAAAATCCTGAGTAACGAAAAAAAAAGGAAAAGAAAAAAGAAAAGAAAAAAGATATCGTTTGTTCCTTTCACAAACGTTGTGTGAATCAAGTGGTTAGGCAAAGAGTTGGAAAAGGCAGTGAGTGAAGCCGTTATTAACTAGAATTAATGCAACTGTGATTGGTAGACGTAGCAGGCAATAAAAGTGACGGACCGAGTTGTTGATGAAAATAACTTTGTAACGTGTCCTCAATGAGAGTCGAAAGCTTTTCCCGGTCGAGGTCGTTTATAAAACCAAAATGCACAAGTTCCTGAGCCAGAAGGAGAGATGCATCGTTTTCCGACACCAAACACGTTAATTGACGATTCATTTTGTCATCCATTCTGAGTAGTATCGTCATCTGAAAGAAAATATATATATATATTTTTTTAAATCATCTCCCTCTTTGTTGCACTTTCCCCTTTGACCCCCGCCCCCGCCCTCGCATGTTTCGCAAGCAAACGGCATTTGGTTTAAAATACATCCATTTGTACTTACCCACAACTCACAACTCTGTTCTTTCGGTTTTACGTTGCACATCATGTTCACAACCCGTCGGTTTTCCACGTCGAACGGCTCCGGCGTGACGGATTTGACGCTTTCCGCCATTTCGGGACTTATGGCTCTGGGTCGTGGCGGAGGAGGTGTGCGAGCGCTAAATGCAGTCAGTGGATATATTCCGTTTTTAACGTCTTCGATGAATTTTTCCAGTTTTTCCGTCACGGGAACGTCGCACATCCGCGCTTGGTGCGGTGGCCTCCCGTCCGCGTGTACAATTTCGGCAACCACCGTTTGTTGTCCGAATAAACCATTGATCACTTCGTCCGTGATTGTTTCGGATATGTTCGCTGTGCTATTAACTAATGCGTGTGCGGATAAAAGTTTCAATGAGTGAACCTGTTGTGAAAGAAAAATCGATAAAATGATAATAATCATTACGGGTTTTTGTGCAGGCGGGAAAATTGTTTTTCTTTTCAGAATTATTTTCTCACTTCGAATAAAAGAGGATGGAAGAGCAATTCTCTCGCGCTTGGGCGATTGTTTGGATCTTTATTAAGACATTTGTGTATAAAATCTTTTTGCCTAGGATCATCCAATGAGTCTATCGTTCTATTTATGTGGTCTTCAGTCACCAGTGTCCCTGAGTCTCCGTTTCCTTGTATTTCTAAGGCCGCCATTTCTAAAGCACACATGCCAAACGAGTATAAGTCCATGGCAGGACTATCTTGAACTGTGAAAAAAGAATAAACAAAGTCAATTTATTTATTTAAAAGTGTATTTCTCTTAACGTCGACAACAAAAAAATTGTTTACCTCCATATTCCGGAGCTATGAAATGCATGTTCTTCATACTCTCCCGGCAGGTTTTGACGTGGTGATGTATAGCATCAGGCGCCACTGTAAATAATTAAACGATATGGAAAATATTAGTGAAATGTTAAAAACAATCAAACGTCGACGACTTCGAATCCGTAGAAATCGGCATTCGATGGGTTCCACGTTCGAGGGCTCCGCCCGGAGACACAAAATGGCACTGACATTGGCCTACGAGCGACATAACGCGCCCCCGCCCTCGTTGTTCCCCCAACGACGACGATATGTGAATTAAATCACCGCGAATCCGCGACCGATCACGACCGAACGTAGTCTCGAAACGTGACGGAAAATCTCCATCGAATTTTCCACGTGATCGTGTCATCGGCGTTTTCCTATTACCCTCCGTGTAGTCGATCCGTACGGGAAAAAAAAAATAAAAAGAAAAAAATCAGCAACGCCGTAATAATTGTTCGAAAATAAAATAATAATAATAATAATAAAACAAATGTGTACATATGAATCGATGGCGCTCAATTTTTTTGATGAAACAAAACTTACCAAAAATTTTTTTTTGACAAAACCTGAAATAAAAGATTAATTAACCGAAAATAACGGGGGGGCGGGGGTGGGTGAGAGGGAGGAGTGAGGGGAAACGCATTTTTTTTTGTTTTGTTGTAATGAACAAACAAACAAACAAACAATCGGCTTACCGTTCCTTGGAAAGCTACAAGAAATGAATTTATTTATAATTATTATAAGAGAAGGAAAATACAACAACCACTGCCTTACCAATCAATGGCTTACTATCAGACACACCCATAATAATCAAAAAGGATTTTTTTTTTTTTTATTGTTGTTGTTGTTGTTGTTGGTATTGGATATACAAAAAAAAAAAAAAAAAGGAAAATTAATAAATTAAAAAATAATAATAATAATAACGAAATAATTAAATAAATTAACTAATTAAAAAAAAAAAAAAAAAAGAAAAAAATTTTTGAAAACAAAATAAAAAGTAAATGACCTGACACATTTTATTTTATTTATTTATTTATATATATATATTATGTATATATATAAAAAAGGGATAAATTTTCGCGGGATTTAATTACCTGATCCTATTTTGACGAGGCCATTGTGTTGAATAAAAATCGTGTCGCAAGTCAGATTGCCATGGATGATGGGCGGACTGCATGAATGCAAATAACTGGAAAAAGAAATATCACCATTTTATCGGCCCCGTTAACTAGTAACCTTTTTTTTTTTTTTTTTTTTTTTCTTTTATCTATCCGAATATTTATTATTTTCTCTTTTCTATTCTTTTTCTACAATGGCATATTTCCTCAAAAAAATTCGATCGTGATTGTGATGCGGGCCGATCCGCGACATTTTCCCCTTTTTAAAAATCCGTCTCTTTTTTGTTTTGTGTTTCCAATCTATTTGACGCGTGCATGCGTGCGTTTTCGTATAAAGAAAATTATCAACAAGTTTTTTAAGAGAGAAAAAAAAAAAAAAAATCCTCTCATCGTAGTAGCATCATCCATACGTCATACATACGTCAACCTCTTTAACAATTTATTTTTATTATATTTAAATACCCGTACAGGTCTCCAGAAAAAAAAATTCCAGGAAGGGGGATTACGTTAAATCATTTTTTTTTTTTTTTTACTAATCCCGTATCGAAATAACAACATTTAATGATGTAAAATAGAAAAAGGACGAAACGGAAAGAAAAACAAAAGAGAAAAAAAAACATTTTCCTATGACATTCATACAGCTTTTCCATTTTTTTTTTTTCTATTCAATTCGATTTCCGTCGTAAATAAAATAAAATAAAATAAATAATAAATAAAAATTTCATCTAATATTCAATCTAGGAACAAAAATAAATAAATAAATAAATAAAAATAAATAAATAAATAAAAAATTATGCATCATGATGTAAATTTCATATGCGGAAAATAACCCACGTATGCAAATGAAGGTGAAATAAAATTATGCCACACACACACACACACTCACAACATTTAAAAGAAAACTGTTCGACAAAATGGACATTTTCCAATCCGATTATGTAAAATTTTGCCAAAGGAAATAACGAGGGGAGGGGGGGGAGAAACAGAAAAAGAAAAGAAGAAAAGGATTTAAAGTTAGAAAAAAAAAAAAAAAATTCACTTCACTTTGCCAGTTACGTATGAAAAAGAATAAAAGATAGCGAGCGAGTGATTGATTGATTGAATGAGATGGAAAGGTAGATAGATAGATAGAGAGAGAAAGAGAGAGATAAACCGCGAAATAAAATAATAATAATAATAATAATAATAATAATAATAATAATAAAATAAAATAAAATAAAAACAACACAAACTGTATAAACCATATTACACTTACCTTTAAGCTGACCAAATATGGATCACTGAACCGACTTTACCTTTTTACTCATTTATATATATAAATATATTTATAGTAACCTTTGACCCTTTTTATAGTTTTAATTAGATATAAAATTATAAACGTACTGCCCAGGTCCTGATTTAATAAGGTATCTTTTTTTAATCGAACCTTCGATACCCAAACTATCAGGATATGGTCAGTGCATTTCTTTTGTACAAAATTTTATTATTAATATCAATAATAATCATTATTATTAATATATATAAATTCAATTTATTTATCTTATTTTATTCACAAAATATTCGATCCATCGGCGAAATAAATAATAATAATAATAATAAAAAAACAAAACGCTCTGAAATATCAAAACAAAAATAAAATAAAATAAAAAAAAAAAAAATTTTTCCTTGTTTTCCAACAACAGATTTCTTAGAAAAATCAGGTTCGACAACAGGGGAAACAAATAAAAAGACCTCGCGCGTTTCCAATTTTCCCCAAAAGATAAATAATAACAAAATCAATGAAAATGATGATGATGAAGAAGAAAAGGAAAAAATAGAGAAAGAGAGAGAAAAAACAGAGAAAAAGATAAAATCCCGCACACGCGGAAAATTTTCTACGCACTTTTCCTTTTAAGGACAAAAAGAAAAAAAAAAACATCTGACTCTCAAAGGAAATGCCAAAAAATTATATAAATAACTACTACACATGTGTGGTTGTGTATTGAAAATGAAAATTTAAAAAAAAAAAAACGTTGATAATAATAATGATGATGATGATGATGATGATGATCTTTGTTTGTTTTATAATAATGGCGGATAAAATAAATTTACCATAAGTAGACCGTTTAATCTTAACAACACCCGACTCCTTTCGTGGATTAATAAAAAAATACAAAAAAAAGAGAGAAAAATAATAATAATAATAATAATAATGACGATGATGATGATGATGATGATGATACTAAAAACCAAACAAATCATCGACGTCAATAATTTTTTTTTTTATTCATCCGATATTCTTATGATCCCATGACAAAACTCATAAGACTTAACGTGGAATTAGACGATGCAAAATGAAAACAACGCAGAATTTCTTTTAGAAAAAGAAGAGAAGAGAAGAGAAGGGAAGAAAAGAAAAAATAATAATAATAATAATGGAAGAAAAAAAATATATGCTTCCGATTGAACATCATCGAATTTTGTTTTCCCTTCTTTTTTTTTTTTGTGATTTTTTTTTTTTTTTACTCAACCATCGACCAAGATTCTCGTCGATTCTCTCTCGTCTTTCGAGATTTTCGAAAGAAAAAAAAAAAAACGAATTTTTTTTTTTGTTTCCTTTTTCTCGTTAAACGTTTTCGGAAAATTTTTTTTATTTACCTGAGAGCAGATAATATTTGCGTGCACCATCTTTTCCATGCGGACAAAGGTAACTTTTTGACGTTTCGTTTTGTGCGTTTTAGGAACTGTTTCAGCGAACCTGAAGACATGTATTCTGTAATAAATATCACCTGTAAAGAAGAAACAAAAACAAAGAAAAATGAAAAGATGAAGGTATTTACGTTTTACATACAACTCATCCCTCGGGAAATTTTTAACAATTAAATAATTTCCGATGTTTTTTAAAGGAAATTAACGCGAAGAGACGACTCACAAACGAGGGATGATAATGAATGATAATGTAAATAAAAGTCATTTAAAAATTTTCCAACCGGAAAATCCTAATTTTTAACCGGAAAAAAGCTTTTTTTTTTTTTTGGTTGTTGTTGTTACACTTACCCGAGGTTTATCGTTGTGGGTGTCGGTCCAATACCTATGAAACTTAACAATGTTCGGATGTTCCAATTGCGTGAGGTTCTCGAAAACCTGTTGGATTTTCTCTTCTTGAGCTTTGAAATTTTTACGCTCAGAAAATTGAACCTCGTTCCAAACGACTTCGACTCCCTCTTCGGTGTCCATCGCAAGGTACGCGCAGTCGATACCCGGAACATCTCGTTGTTCAACCTGTAAACAAAAAAAAAATTTAATCTTTCGTTAATTAATTGCCGGAACGACAATAAAATAAAAATAAAAAAAAATTGACAGGTTTGATTAAAATCTTAAATTTTTTTTTTTTTTTTTTTTTTTTAGCACCACTTTTCAAACGTTGGCAATCATACAATACAAACTTCGTCTCTCTCTCTCTCTCTGAAATAAAATAAAAAAAAAAAAAAACTTAAAATTAAAACACGTATTACATGATAGACGACGGGCAAATTTTTATTTTTATTTTTATTTTTTATTTTTCCAACACGTGTTCTTTTACCTATCAAATCTCATTTCTTTTTATCTCTCTCTCTCTCTCTCTCTCTTACTGTCTCTTCTTCCTCATCCCTCTCCGAGAAAAAAGTAAAATACTTTGTTTTCTTCTCTAATTGCACCGTGAATTCAATGTCGAGGACGAACGACACGAACCATAAAAACAAACCGAAATAACTCGTGGCAGCAACCTTTAAATAATAATAAGAGACAAACGACAGCCAGCCAGACAGACAGACAGACAGCAGAAAAATTAAAAAAAAAATAAAAAAAATTTATATATTTATATATATAATTTATTTCTTTTCATTCATTATTTAGAAAAAAAAAAAAAAAAACAAAATTGTCGAAATTTATTTTCGTTCGTTTCGCTAATGAGAAATTATATATAAAAAAGATTACAAGAAAAATAAAGCAAAGGTTAAAAGAAAAACAAAACAAAAAAAAAACAAAAACAAAAAGCAGAAGACGATTCGTTAAGTGAAATTTTCAATATTCCCGCGACTTTATGAACAAAAAAAAAAAAGAAAGAAAAAAAAATGCTGTTTTCCCCCTTCCCCCGCCTTTTGTTGCTCCCCTGATTTCTTTCTCTTTTACTTTATCCTTTTCTTTACCTTTTTTTCTCGTCTCGTATTCGACTTGAATTTGTTTTTTTCTAAATCGAAATTTCTAAAAACTTACAAAATGATTCAATTACGCTCATCACAATTAAAAGGAAAACGTGATAAAGAAAAGACGAAGAAAAGAAGAAAAAAAAAATAAAAACTGCGGTCGAGCAATGGAAAAGAAGCACAAAAAAACTGAGTCACAACTTATTATTATTATTATTATTATTATTATTATTATTATTACAATTTTTCATTTTGTATTTAATTTACGAGACGACAACATCGTAATAATATTATTAACGACGATTCCTCGAATCGGGAAAAAAAAAAACACACATTCGAGTATTTAAATTTCACGATAAAAATTAATAATAAATGGCGGACTCGAAACTTCCGGTTCAAGGTAACAATTAATTTATTTCGTGATACCGGGAAAGAAAAAAAAAAAATGTCGCCACATGTAAATTTCCACGTAATGCTAACCATCGAGCGACCTCCCCCCCTCCTTCCCCCCTTCCGGTTCACTTCGACTCAATCTTTGTCTTTATTAATTTTCTTTTTTAACCGGAAATAATTAATACTCCGGAGAACAGAAAGAAAAAGAGAAAAAAATTTTTTTTACTTTATTAATATTTCTTATTATTATCATCATCATCATCATCGTGAGCTTTTCACGAAGAATTTTCCATTTAAAAAAAAAAAAAAAAAAAAAAAGCGGGAAAAAGTTTAATTTAACTTTCAAAACGATTATCATCCATTTAATTTTCATTCATTCATTCATTTATATTCTGAACTTTTTTTTTCTTTTCGTTTGAAATGTTACGCGAATGTTAAATAAACCTTAAAACCTTAAATAATTTTTCTTTTTTACTTTTTCAACCCCATTTTCTGAACAATACATTCTCACAGACAGACGATTTTCTCTCTCTCTCTCTCTCTCTCTCTCTCTTTTTTTTTTTTTTTAGAAAAATAACCTGCAGTCTACAATCGATTTATTTATTTTTTTTATTATTTAAAAAAAATTAATAACCGGAAATCAAAGGGCAAACGTCGATTTTTGAACTCTCGACCCATCAGAAGAAGACGGGAGAGAGAGAGAGAGAGAGAGAGAGAGAGAGAGAGAGAGAGAGAGAGAGAGAGAGAGAGAGAGAGAGAGAGAGAGAGAGAGAGAGAGAGGGAGAAAAACGCCCACAAATATTATAATAATAATAATAATAATAGATAAAAAAAATATTAAAGAGTTTCGAAATAAATTTCATTTACGTTCGGTATATATGAAATTTATAAACTTTAGACGGTTTTCGAATTCATTATCGAACGAAAAGAAAAAACTAAAAAAGATTCGAATAATTTTCATCATTTTCTCGGGTCCCTTTCCCCTCCCCCTTTTTTTTTATTCAACCTTTCTTTTTTTTAATTCGAATCGTTTTGTACCTTTTTTTTCTTTCTCCAACGACTTAATTAAAATATCGTTTGTTACAAATTAAATAATTAATAATTAAACTTTAAAACTTTAATTTATTGGAAAATGCAATTCCGGCACGACGACAAAGATGGCGGAAATTGGTTTCTGTAAGTATCTTTGTTAAAATAAAAATAAAAATCCCCGTTAAAATGACTAATAATAATTAATTTACATACGACGTCAAAAAAAAAAAAAATAAAAAAGTTTTCAACTATTAAAAGAATATAAATAAAAAAAAAAAAAAACAGAAAGAAAATCTCAAGGAAAACCTTCCTAACCTTTTTCTTCTACTTTTTTTAAAAACCTTTTCGCAACTTTTCAGTTTTTGGAAAATTTTTTAAAACCGTTAATTGAACGGAGAGAAAAACGAGATTTCTTTTTTTTATTTAATAAATAAATAATACATCGGGGGGTCTAAGTCTGCAAAATTGAAATTCTTTAGCAATTAGTAATAAAAAAAGAAAAAAAAGAAAGAAAGAGAGAGAAAAAGAAAAGAAAGAAAAGAAAGAAAAGAAAAAGAAAGAAAAAAACTGACGCACTGGCGTCATAAACTTTCATTATTACTAATTTTTTTAAAGTGAGTCGAAGAATAGATAATTTATTGCTCGAGCTTATTTTATTATTATTATTATTATTATTACTATTTTTTTTTTTTTTTTTAAATACATAAACTCAAGACAACGTCGTCAACAGATATAAAAAGATAATAATAACAATAATAATAATAATAATAATAATAATTGAAAAAAAGCGAAATCTATTTTTAAACTTTGATTTTTAAATCACAAACCCTTTCTAACGGTCGTGGAGGAAGAAAAATAAAAAGAAAAAACCACCGCCTTGTAATTTTTTTTTTTTTTTAAAAGGCGGAAACGAAGAATTAATAATTAAAAAAAAAACCGCGAAATCGACTAATTATTCAAATTATTACTAACGATTACTTATTAGTAATCATTCTTTGTTTCTACACAAATAAAATTGATGTAAATCCTACGTCACAACGCGTCACAACGCGTCATACACGCACGCCCACGTCACATGCCCTACGCACACACACACGCACACAAGGAAACTAACGATCAACAAAAGAAATAATAATAATAAAACATTCTAGAACGTTTTTTTTTTTTTTTTTTTTTTTTTTTTTTTAAAAGAAAAACCTAAATGAAATTATCCATCTAGTCGGTAGGTGTAAAT